GTGATAAACTGAGAGAAACGAGAAAAAGTAAAATAATAATAACAATAATAATAGTAATAATAAGTATAATAATCATAATAATAACAATAATAATAATAATAGTAATAATAATAATAATAATAATAATAATAATAATAATAATAATAATAATAATAATAATACTGATAATAATAATAATAATGATAATAATAATAATGATAATGATAATGATAATGATAATAACAATAATAATGATAATAATAATAATAATAATAATAATAATACTGATAATAATAATAATAATGATAATGATAGTGATAATAACAATAATAATAATAATAATAACAATAATAATAATGATAATGATAATAATAATATTGGTGATAATGATAAAAATAATAATAATAAAATGAAATTAAAATTTAAAAAAATAAAATAGAACATCAGCTAAGAGCAAACAATAAAGGACGGAGGATTAAATCATAAGAAACTCTAAACAATAAAAAACAGTTGCATAACTAATTTATATTATTACATCCATCACATCATTATATATACTATCATTTAAATTCTATCATTAATATAACCATTTGTAAAGAACATTCTTGATCATATCAGAATATAACATTTATATTTCGCTATTAATATAGACATTTGTGAAGAATATCATTTACTATATCACTACATATACTACAATTTATATCCTATCATTATCATAAACACCAGTATTATGAAGTATTATGAAGACATCACCTGTATTTGTGAAGAATTTAGCGAAGAGAAGGTCAGCTGAGACGACGGTGGTGATGATGACGTCAGATCCGCTTCTCACCTCCTTGTTCATTAAGTCGTAAAAAAATTCGAAAGGAAAATATTTCATGCGATTAATGTGCTTTAAGGCGTCGATTTGCCTCAGGATTGTTGATTCGGTTTTCTGTGAAGGAAATTGACGGTATGGTGTAGCTTTTCTGTCTGTTAATGTTACTTTTTTTTTTTTTTTTTCTTTTTTTTTTTTTCGTTTTTTTTTTTTTTTTGAGAAGCCTAGTTTGGAGATTCTTGAATGAAGAAAATAGGAATGTGAGGATTGATTCCTTTTTTATATATAGTTAATCTATGACAGTGTTATTGCCCTTATTATCATTATTACTATTATTATTATTATTATTATTATTATTATTATCATTATTATTATTATTATTATTATTATTATTATTATTATAGTTATTGTTATCATTATTACTATCATTATCATTAATATTATTTCTATTATTATTATTATTATCATTATTATTACCATTATCATTATTACCATTACTATTATTATTATTATCATTATTATTATTATTATTATTATTATTGTTATCATTATTATTATTATTATTATCATTAATAATAACGTGTTACCGCGTTGCCTTTCCTCTCTCTCTTTTATACCCCCTCTTCTCCCTTTCCTCTTCAGACCTGAGGATGGAATCCAGGTGGATTCCGAAACTGTTGTCTCATTTTCAATAAATCTAGTTTTTACATTGTGGGTTTGTCTACCACTATCATCAATGTAATCATTATTGTTATCTTTGTCATTATCATTATGATTATTATCATTATCATATTATTATTGTCATTATTATCATTATTATTACCATGATCACTATTATTTTTATTAACATTATCACTATTATTATTATTATTATCTTTATTATCATTACTATCATCAGCGCTATTATTATCATTAGTATTATTATTATCATCTTTATTATTATTATACTTAATATTGTCATTATTATCATTATCATTATTATTATTATTATCATTATTAGTATTAGTATTAGTATTAGTATTAGTATAATTATTACTATTATTGTTATTACTACTACTACTACTACTTCTACTGCTATTATTATCCCTCTTACTATTATTGCATAGGCCTAATCTGGATATTCTTGAATTTAAAAAGCATGAATGCAGAGATTAACTGTCACGTGACCCTGATTGAAACAGATATCGAATATACTGATCGAACGACCGTATTTATTCCCATTCAAACGTTTATTTTTTTTTTATCCACCGGCGAAGCCCTCGCACCCGATAAAACCAAACCTAAATAAATAAACGAACGCTCCAAAATAGAAATTCCAGATATTCAAACCACCCGAACTCACAGCAAAGAGTTCCGTGAAGGCTGTGTCGGGCTCCATAATAACGACCGTGTCCTCGCTCTCGACGATGTCTCTCAGCTCCTGGATCGGCTGAGCCAAGTGCCGCACCGTCAGGAGGGAGGCCAGGTTGCCGCTGTAGCTCCACGTGACCAGCATCGCCGCCAGGAGCCAGCCGCCCACCACCAGACGGGCGCGGGCGGCTCGCACGTCGCACCGCAGACCTGAGGCGTGTGTGAGCATTTAGGCTTGTGTGTGGGCAGTGGTCGGAAAATATATTTGTGTATTATATGTCTATATGTGTATGTGTGTGTCTGTGTGTGTGCGTGTGTGTGTGTGTGTGTGTGTGTTCATATATGTATATTAAA